AAATTGAAAAATATTTGTCATTTTTATAAATTTGTGAGCATATAATTTCTTTAGTTATAGATTTCTTTTTGTATTTTATTACTTGTTCACTCAAAATTTCATGTGGCACGGGTCATGTAGTTAAATGTGGGGATTTAAAATTAGTTTTAGATGAAATTCAAAAACAAAAACCTAAATTTATCTAAGTGAACCTTAAGGATCAATTTAGTTCCATACTTTACGCTTAAAAAATTAATTCTAAGTTACCAACCAAGAAATTTTAAGGAGATTCAATTTTGGCTGATAACGCCACCTTTATTTTTAATGTTATAATATGGCACTGTAAATAATTTATACTTTTAGTATTTGTAATGCATCATAGATATTTCAAAGGCAATGGATATAATTGTTCATAAAAAAATTCAATTCAATTCAATGAGCTGAGAAAAAAAACTAATTAAATGAGAATCATGCTTGGTTCAACAGGAATAATATATCACCTCTTAAAATTAGCAAAAATTAGGATAGTTTTACATTTTAACTCCTCCTTTTCTTATTCTTCATCCCCCAATGTAATTGACAAATTTTAAAAAATATAAAGGTTATTACTTTTTTTCTTTCATAAATACTAGTTTATTAATTCTTGAAAGTGTATTTTATGCACCCTAGGTTAAAAACAGTAAGAAAGGTTATAAAAAATGACTTGCGCATGCAAAGGAAGAAAGTTCAACCAAAACCATAATCAACATAAGCTTTTGAAGACAACTCTTATTCATTAAAAGATCTTAAGTGATTTTCAAATATTTTATACTAATTATATTTCAATTAAACCCATAAAATAGTAGGTTTTAATTTTCTTTGAAGTAAAAAAAAAGGTGTATCGAGAAATTAGTAGTAGTTGAGATAATTACTTAAAAACACGTAAAATGACAATCTCAAATAGTAAATAAAATTTTAAATAAGTATATTTCCAATATAGAAAAGCAAAATCTGTTTTTGTCCTTTAAAATCTTAACTTTCAATGTTAATGAAATTATTTACTTCAAACTCACGTTATGCTTATTATGAACTCATTTAGGATTTTAATAATATATTTTAATTCATCCGTATTAATAAAAGACCAATATTTTTATCTTTTAGAATCCTCTAAATAATACCAGTAAACATTCTTTAGTTTAGAGTCTTTATGTAAATTGACCTAATATTAGTCTTATAAGTATATTAATAAAAAATAATTCAAGTACATTAATAAACAAAATATTTAAAACTACCCGAAAATAATTCTGACATGTCTTTATTAGTACATATATGAGTTGTAGAGAGAGAAGAATATGGTTAGGAACATATAACATGGGACATGTCTAAATGTATAGCAAGACCTAACAAATTGTGACTTGGAGAAATTAAAAATTTGGCACACTTTGCCTAAATTTACTGAAATGTATAAGGTCAAATAATTAAAAAGTAACCTAATGGCAAAAAAAGATCCATAGGAAGTTTCATTTACCAATTTCAAAGGCCCGGGAGCGGTCTTAAGAAAAGAGCAATTTATGCAAAATATCCATTGAGCTTAAACTAATACCCTCCTTTATCCATTTGAAAATTATTTACAATATATACCTATCCAAATGAAATTAATTATCTCTACCTACCCACAATCATCCTAACTTTTTTTACCCATTTGACTTAGCTTAGCTTGATTTCGCTTGGTTTTGTTTGACTTGGTTTGAATTGACTTGATTAGGTTTGCTTGGCTTGGCTTGGTTTGAATTGGATTGGCTTGAATTAGCTTGATCTATAGCAGCTTGAATTGACTTCATTTGGCTAGGTATTAAAAAATGGGGAAGGGGCAAAGTAATGGATAGGAATGGATAAATGTTTTCCACCCCATGGGTATTTGCTAAACTTTTCAGAGTGATTGACAAAAATGAGATATGCAGGGAAAAGACAACTACATCAGCCACATGTAGCAGTTTCACAACATTGAAAACTGAAAAAATAAGGTAGGACAGTTTTTAAGAAGTAAACCATAAAACAAAAAGTAAATTTGACTTTAAAAAATAAGGTTAGGACCTAAAAGTAATTAATTGAAAAGTTTACATTTTATTGAAAACTTTTGTGAGGACTACAAAGTTCTCCCTTATTATATATAGTAAATGTTTATGGATGTTTTCGGGTTTCACAACCTGAGTTGTCAATAGGTTAGGTATGCAATCCCAACGATTAATGAGTTCATTATGAGGAGTCAGTTATTTGGTGAGTTATCAGTAGAGAGGTGTACATGGATCGGGTTGATTCGGTTTTGTCGGATTTTTCGGGTTTTCGGGATTTTTTTATTACATTTGTATTATTTCAATCTTACTTTATTAAAATTATAGATAAAGCTTTGATAAGTGAATATATGTTTAGTAAATATGAAAAAAATTGACAAACATATGACGTATTAAAATATTCTAATGGGAGAAATTTTTTAGTAACACATGATAGTTATTTTCTTAGTCGTCTAACAATAATTTTTCGTTAACTTACACTTTCAAGGTTAATACATGAGAGGATCCCAAATATTTCTATATTTTCTAAAGAAAAATCACTATAAAGTCTTAAAAATATAAATAAAATTTATATATTTATATGTCGGTTTGGTTCGAATTTCTTTTACTCAATACCAAACCAAGTCAAACCAAACCTAGTCGGGATTTTTAATCAATTTGGTTTGATTTTTCGGTTTGGTGCGATTTTCCGGTTCGGTTTGAACACCCCGAGTTATCAGTATCATTTTCTTTGGTTTCTTCACTTCTATTAAATGTTTTGACCCTTCCATTTTATTATAAGGAGTATTTAATTAATAACATGCGCACGAAGAGGCAATAAAAGCTATGAATGAATAAGACAAAGAAGTGAAGGATTCTACGTCATCTATAGTCATCAACTGATTATTAGCATCTTTAGCAAAAATTATGGGGATGTTCTCATTTAATTGGAACATGTGAAAAATGAGTCGTATTTCATGTTTGAATACAAATGTTGCCCTAACTTATAACATAAATATAATTGGAACAAAGGTCTACTAATAGTAATACATCGGACAAATACGCCAACTATTGATAGGATTGATAAACAATTTGGACACACTTTTGGAAGCATGCCGTTGATATATCAATAGGGACTTTACGTTTCATGTTTCATGATTACCATCTTTCCTTCTCACCTCTGCAATTTGTAGTGTGAATTTCGGATATTGATCTTCTATGAGATCTTCAATTTCTTATATTCACATTTTCAAGGTGCATGTATCCTTTATATCATTAGCTAACCACAGGGGCGGATCTATCATGTAAAATATGGTTCACGTGAAATCGTGGTCCTCGGGTTAAAGTATGGATATGATGTACATAATTTGGAAAATATATATATATATATATATATATATACTTGATGCAACTCATGGTCAAAAGAGACTAAGAGGTGCATTGGTTTTGGTCTCTTATTTTCAATAGCCTAAAGTCAGGGGATCAAACCCCCTACCAACCTTTTGGTTTAATTTTTTTTAAAAAAGTAATAGTGAACCCATCCTTCGCAAATCCTGGATCCGCCTCTGGCTAACCATTGGATCAAAGGAGAGAGAACTAACGAATAGCCCTTGATAGCTACCTCAAAATTGAATCTAAACCTTTAAATAGTTTGAATGAATCATTCTTTCTCAGATTAGATAAATGTACTACGGTTTTTAATCGTCATTGATATATGGATGGGTAATAATTTATCTAATCCTAAAAAATAAATTTTATTTATCCCCTTTTCCTTCTTCCAACAACAAAAATGCTTTCATCTCAAATGATCATATAGCTTTTCTTTTCTACAGGAACAATAAGAATTATTCCCTCCATTACAATTTGTTTGAATATTTTCAGAGTACGAGATGCTAATTGATTAATTTTCACCGTGACAAAGATTCTTTAAGTTTTTTAAAAAAATTACATATTTATAGGCTACATAAAAAGTACTTTAAGTCACCATAGCTAACAATTCAAATATTTAAAAACTATCTGCTAAAAATTAACATGGTCAAATAGAACCTTATATGACTCCCAAAATAGTAAACAATTCATTCTTTTTGAAACCGGGGATTATATATTTCAGATTCTTAAAGTTTATTTGGTAACGTGGAAGCTAAAACTTCAGTAATTACGGAGAAAGGGTACAAGCAGTAAAAATGCAAGATAGATATATAGTAAATGAGAGGGAATAGAAGGGAATGAATGTTGAACCGATTTTATTAACAATAATCGTTTATAATTAAGCTTCATAAAACAAGCTGAACTTTGTGATGTTGTTAGAAGTTGTAATAGTGTATCCCCTTTAAGTTTTGAAGATGATCCGATGTCCTATGCTGGAGAAGCGGGGCCTCTTTTATACCAGATTGGGTCCCGACACGGTTCATTAATAGGGTTGAAAATGATCACTGATTTGTGAGAAGTTGTCACAACCTCGGCGTCCGATCCGTTAAGGGACACGGATCTGTAATGTTTGTACTTGAATTAAGTTCGAAGCAGATTATATAAAAAGCCAAGGTAGACAAGGGCGCGGCGGAGCTAGAGTTTAGGTTAGGCCTTCGACTGAACTCAATAGTCTTGGTCCAAACTCTGCATTTGTCTTAAGAAATTAATTAAATAATATATAAGTATCAATTATTAATTTAAAACCTCAATAGCTTAAAAGAAATAAAATCCTGAATACATAATTTTTAAATTTTGGCTCCAGGATAGTTACGTTGTAGGCAACATGTGCCTGATTAAAGGTACGAATGCGGGTTTGCTGGGTTGCCGGCCTTGGGACCTTTATGGTGCCCACAAGATATACATGCTGTCTATCTCAGGGGACCAAATTAAAATTTTCCCCTACAATGTATGGTCTTGTTTCTTCAGTTCTACCCACTAATATAGTCTTGTTTCCTAACTTGATTGCACCATGAGGCATGCATCAAATTTAGGAAACTTATATAAATTTAGACAGGATCAGACTAAGGACGAGAAAGGTAAAACTTTCATTGACTGGGATTTCTTGTGAAAAACACCAACTACAAACTATATAAACAGTCAAACAAAGCTGCAGGCCAAGATGTAAGGAGAAGGAGGAGGAGGTAGAACCGTAGAAATAACGAGAGAAAAAAAAAACAACTCCTTTGGAAATAAATCCTCATTATCATTGTTGTTCTAAGTGCTCACAGGGCTATCTGGATCATTTAGAGTAGCTATAGCAGTTTCAATCCTCATCTTCAAAAGTTCCTTCTCTTCCTCATCAGCCTGGAAAAGACAAATCAATGTTAACTAATAGTATACATTATTGAACTTTTAAGAAATGATCATTAATTAGTTACAACATTCAAAACATCAGCAATCCATCTAACTATAAAAGGATGGTTAATTATATTGTCAAACAGCTTAATCTTGTCAGAAGTTTATTGGAAGGTCTATGGAATGTAACTCAAGGTAAAAGACTACCTTGAGTTAAAATACCATACCTTGTAACGTTAAAGTTTCAAGAATGTATATGCGACGGTTAGCACGAGGGGGCTTGTTGACAAGTTTTCATTCTTAAACTTGCAAAACTATAGTAATTTCACCCTTATCATAAAAATTTTGGTATTTAACGCTAGACGCATTAAAATAATAAATGAATGATTATGGTTAATAATTGCTGCAGTGAATCAACACGTGAATGATTTTTTACAACTTTTTGGCGAGTGACATATACGGACAAGCAGCATTTCAAAGAAAACATAATTTTTTTGGTTTAGTTGACGCCTTTTTCGTTAACAACCCTTTTCTTGGTTCTATTTTCCTGTTTCTTCTGTTCCAAATTATTACTTATTATTTTTTTCTTGTCTCAATGGGAAAAGACGAAACCATTTTCCAATGAAGAGTAAATAAACTTTCCCTTCAAAATTAAACATAGTGGAATTCGAAGAGAAGCTTGTATTATGTCCTCTCAAATACCGGGGAGGGGGGTGGTTGAAAATTATATGATTAGACTTCAAATTAAAGATCGAGTGCTAAGTAAATGATTAGGATGTAAGAATTGAAAAGGAAATGGAAATTTATATACGTTAACATCACTGATCGAAGACCTTTTCCAATTTCTTTCTCCAATAATTTGAACGATTGACGTTAAATAAATATGATTATTTCATTTTCATTCTGCAATTTAGAAAGACTTTTGATATATCGCACGTTCTTTACTGTGCGCATAATACCCTTTTAGTGGTAAAATATATTTCTTTCCGTATTCAAACGTGCCTTAACTTCTTTATATGCATGCAAAAGACTAAATTGAGTCGATACCTAGAAAATTGCGTAAGATAGTAATTCCAAGGTCAATTCTTTTTTTAATTCCACCAAATTCATTGCTAATGGAAATTCAGTTACTTTATTTCTATTTCCATTATATATATGACCTAGAAAAGAGAGTAAACCTAACTCGAAGTCAGGTGTTTTTTTTTTTTTTTTCGGGTGTGTGTGTTTTGGAGAATAAAGAAAAGAAAATCTCGACTAACACCGAAAAACTGCAAAAAGAATTCAAAATTCCGGAGAAAATTTATTAAGGAAAATGTATGGGATTAACTAAAAACCCCTCAAATCTGGTTAATCTCCTTGAAGATCCGGTATATAGTAAAGATACTTCTAGAGGATAGTCTGTATTTTACTGCTAATCATTGACAATAAAATAATACCCCCTAATAATATGCTGCACTCCGCATAATCAAACTTTATTTATTCAAGTGGGCCATAGAAAGATTATTTCCTTAGTAGGGCCCTTATTTATCATTTGGTCCCACATCCTTGACAAAAATATTGGACCATGTATTAGTTTGTCAAAATATTGGACCATGTATTAGTTTTGGGCCTAACAATAAATAGAAAACACTTTTATAAGTTTACTTGGAAAACTGATCCACAAGTTGTCTCAACCATACAATTAAATAATTCATAAAATTAATTAAAAGAAAGTAACACAATTTAAATATTTAAGTGCTTCCATTTTTTAATTCCTTATATAAAGGGATAATTCATTATTTTATATTGTGTATGACCTGTTGATGCCTGTCCTGACTTCAGGAAATAAAGATTTGTGCTAGACATGGTGCACTTGCACCATAAGAGCTTGATATCCACGCTCTACAGATTATTTTGCCTTTTGTAATTGCACAAAACCCCCTTTTATTTAAAGAATTTCATGAGATGTGTATTTGTTTTTCTTTTCTTTTCCAGTTTTCCCGATTAAAAAAGAATTGCAATTACATAACCACCCTGTGAACTAGTTCTCTTTTTGAAGAGACTATACTAGTACTAATAATAGAAAAGATTTATATATTATTAGATTATTTTAAAAAAAAATTATATCGAGTGTGAGTAGATAACTTGCAAAAAATGCAAGTTAGGTACAATTAATTATCAATAATGCATATAAGTTAAATTTTTTTTAAATCAACAAAACATTATTTACTACTTCCTCTGTTCCAAAAAGTATGATACATTTTGGGTTTTAAGACTCGAACGAGTTGTTTTTTACTGTGATTTTTTCATGTCTTTTGAATATTTTGGATTGTTAAAAAAATTTAACAAATTTACAAATTTATTTTAAAAAATTTAAAAATTTATGTCCGAATGTGCAGTCAACATTTAAAACTTTAAATATTAAAATTTAAATTGTGTCATTCTTTTTTGGACGGCGAATATCACTCTAAGTATCAATTCTAAACTTGCGTAACATTAGTTTTTTCGGGCAGATAAGAGGATCTATACTTGATGATTGCCCTCTACCTACTGTATTATAGTTTTAAAGAAAATGAAAATTCATATAAACTTGTATTTATTTTCTTTATTCAACCCTTTATTACGTTGTTTAAACAAAACTTGGACATAGTCCAATTGAGGCTTAATTTACTTGACATGGATGCACGTGTAAGCCTTAAATGCTTGAAGAAATTAAATTTTGTAACCATAAAAATTTTGGGGGTTATTAGTGGAATTATCTCAATTCTAAAAAGCAAAAGTTCAGACAAGGGAATAAATAAAAAAAGAAAGTTAGACAAAGAATACACAGAAGAGAAGGGAAAAACAATGGAAAAGAAAAGAAACAAAAAAGAGAATAAAAACAGAGAAAACAAGGCCATAAAAAGGTTCTTACCTCAATGAAAGCTGTCTTGAGAAGCCTCCCAGAGAAAGCAGTGATATTTGCACTAATGATTTTGATATTCAAAGATTCAAAGATCTCACAAACTTTTACCATTGTGTCTGTTCTTTTGCTGCAAGTGAGGCTCACCACCACTGTTTTTTCTCCCATTGAAGATACCCTCAACTAATAAAAATTAAATTAATAAGTAACTTCTTGTTTTTTTCCTCCTTTCTTTTAGGAGGATGGGGATCACTATAATGTGAATGAATGAAAAGTCTGTTTTGTCATCTGTTTGACTTTATTTTCTTGGAGTATTAATTAATTACCTCAAGAACTTCAACAGGAGAAGAGGATGGTGATGATCTTGTAGTTGATCCAGAAGAATCATAACCATACTGCTGCTCAAGTGTTCTTGATCTTTTAGGCTTTGCATCAAAGCTCCCATCTTGATCAAATTCAACACTCGTATTCTTCTTTGACCTTCCAGATTCAAGCTCTGATATCTCTGCTTGAATTCTCCTTTCTTGATCATGCAATTCTTGAATGTAATCAATTGCATCTTTGATTATTGAGGCTTTATCCATCTGAAAACTCACAATAATATACTAAATCGAGAGAAAGACAGTATTTTTTTTCTTGTTTTACCCTTATCATTAATTGATCATTTTCAAAATTATTTCTCAAGACCTTTTGAAATGCTATCATTAATGGCGATTATTTGTTAAGGGACGTGAAAAGTTCAAAGTTTGACAAGTAAAATTGAACGTAGTGAGTAATACATTGTCAGCAATAAAGGTTGAGGGTGTGGAAGTGGGGTGGGGTATTCAATGGTAATAAAAGTAGTATTAATGTATTATGTAATTTCTATTGGGGAAAATAAGAGGGAAAGAGCAATAATGAAACTAGGCAAAACAATTTTTTCCCCTTTTCTTTTATTCACCATAAGTGATTCAAAATATAATTGGTCACCTTGCTAATGTTTGGGACCACAGCTCTAAGTGCAAATAACCTCTCATTTAGCTTCTTCCTCCTATTCCTTTCTGACACAATGTTTTTGGATGCCAACGATGATTGTGCCCCGTCCGGCGAGCTTGAATCATAGTATGCCGAGATTGCCTCATCGAAGTAGCTGCTGCATTAATTCAATCAATCACTTATGCAAATTTCAAATCATTTCTTGGTGCTCCAAAAGAAAAATATAAGTGAAAAAGAATCTGAACACTCAATCCAGAAGAAATATAATAAAAATGAAAGTTTATGTACCTATCGAGTTCTTCGTTTTGTAAGAACATGTTTGTTTCCCAATAATTCTTATACTCATCACCGATGTTCTCCATCTTCTTGGGGAGAGAGAGGGGGTGGAGTGAGAAGGAAGCAGAAGGAGGAGACACGTTATGCTTTAAATCTTTTGTGGGTAAAGGGGATGTAAGCTTTAAAAAAAAGGGACAGAGTTGAGAAGAGGGGGCGTAGGTATATATAGATGAGAAAAATAGCACGTGCGCTTATTTTTTTCTTCTCTAAATATATTTCTGGTTTTATTTTGATGCTTCGTGGAAAGCTCTAATTTATCCCTGCCGTCCACAATCCTATTCTTTTCTTTTCTACTTATTTAGAAGCGCGAGTTGAGGAGCTCTTCGTCGTCCTGCTTCGGGGTTATTTTCGGAAATGTTCCCTCTAAGTGGCTTAAAGCTGTTCTCGTGTACATCCTATTTCTTCAACACCTAAGCGCCAGGACGGTCTTCAATTTCTCATCTCACCCTGTGCTCTCTCTCTTTCTCTCCTCTCTGCCTCTCTTTAGATTCTTTTCGTATGGATCTCTCTGTTTCCCTTTGTTTTCTCACTAAGATTGGAATTAAAGCTGCGTATTGTGGGCTGTTGATTTTGTTCCTGTGTTTTTTTTTATATTCCAAGAGTTCTGGTCGAATTGTACCCCCAAGTTGCTTCCACTATAACTCTTCACACCACTGGAGAAGATGACCATTTGTAATAGGATATTTGCCGCGTCTATGATCAGGTGTTGAGGTGTACTTTCTTTTGTCAAACACGTGGTGTGCAATTCTTCAATCTTCCCTTGTGTCTGTGTTGGTAGATCTCTGTCGTTCCCTTTTAGGTTTGGAATTAAAGCTATGTAATTTGGGTTGAGCTCATTCTCATAGGGTTGGAGTCAGTGCTGGATATGTATCTTCAAAGAGCGACGAGTGTAAAACGTGGCTGCCAACGCTGTTGGACTCACTGTTTGCACAGTTCAATTTTCTTTTTACGGCTGCTGGGTGATTCATTTTCTTCCTCCTGTTGTTCTCCGTGTTGGCGCTGCTGAAACGTAAAATTACGAATTCTGCTGAGAGGTGAGACTTGCTTTTGCTAAAATTTCATGTTCCTTGTTGTGGGCTACTCTGCTGACAAGTTCGACTTAGTTCTTTTAGTTAGCTTTCTCTTTCATCTTGATAAATCTTATGGCTCTACTTGGATTATGAACTGACATATAACGAACTACATATATGAGTTAAGTTTTTAGTTAAAGCGGACATAGGATTAATGGCAATTCGATACTATAAATGATTCCAGGATGAGGTGCCTCTTTTTGGTTTTAATATTTAAAAAGTGATAACCAACTGCTTGGCATATTTTACTTCGTAGTTTGATTTGGATTAAGGTTTGGGAAGTTGGATAAGGAAAGAGAACTGGCTTATGCTGAATCTGCGATCCTGCAAGCAATTGCAAACAGAACACTTTGGCCTTTTTTTAAGAAAGGAGAAGCATTGACCTTTTTGTCCACAATATTGATCTTTTGTACTTCTAAGTCCTATGCGGAGAGATTTTTAGTTCCATCTGAAGGAGTGAAGGTAAAAATTTTGCAATAATTATTTGTTTGAACTATCTTTCTCCCTATTGGAAATGATTGTATCCTCTATATCTCCAAACCATAAACTGCAAAATAAGAATCGCAGGCTTGACTTGCTTCTTTAGCATATTGTTCAATTTGTCTTTTCAGCGAACATAAGGTCTGCGGCAAATGTGATATCTCAAGAATCTTACGTAGAATTTTTTTTATAGCACATACACAATTGCCAGGTTCTTATCTGACAGATCCAGAATTGCATATGACATTGCACAGAGAAGGCAGTTTAAAAATACAGAAATGGATGAAAATCTTCTAACTCATATTACAGTCAATGAGACTGCAATTCATTTGTGCTAAAAACTATGACATGGATTTTTGAAAATGATTGTAAACAATGTAAGCACACATCAAGTCTACTCGATAATGGTGCAGTTGTCGAGACTTTTTGACTAAAGAATACATGTGCTTCAATAAAGTAATAAAGTCCGAGAATTCCCAGGATATTTTGTTTTTATTTTGCTGAGCATTAGCTTTTAACAACTAATGGGATGTAGGAAAATTGTTGTAACCCAACAAGTTAATGAACCCACTTGGTGTCAGCCATTCATCTTCACGTGCTAATATGGCCATCCGGATTTAAAACCTTCTATGACAGACTTTTTCAAAAAAAGAAATAGGTAAAGTGAACATATACGAAAAGGTCCTAAGAGGGTTGCCGCAATGGGCTGTAGAGTCAAATACTTGGCAACTATAGCTGCAGGACAATGCCAAAATTGCTATGTGTAATGTGTTTAACGACCTTGATTTGGCCAACAGATTCCTAAGACCTTGTAGATCCATTAGCTAATATATTGATTTACATCACCTATCACCATATATGTGACCTCTTCTTTCCGTAGTATATGCACATTTTAAGCTCTCTATGATGGTTATTTAATTGTAAGAATGCATATGGGCTTGTGAATGTGTGACTGATTTCATGTTTCCAAAGATCTCATCTTTATTTCAAGATTAACTTGGGGCAAATCTTCTTCTAACCCATGCCCAAAATATAGTTATATGGTTTGGAATGCATGATTATGCTCTCTGCAACTGTGACAACCCCATGAAGTTGGAATAGCATGCCATGAAAGCAATCAAGACCTTAATCAGTGTCAGTTGATTAACGGAAGCGTCTCTTAGGAAATGTTTGACAGCATAGTTGGAGAAGTTGTTGAAGAAATTGAAGTACCTACAGATACCCTTGTAAGTGATGATTTGTGTTCCTTATACAGTTTCTTCCCAGTGTAATCCCCACTAGTGGGATTACACTGGGCCGTTGTTGTTGTTGTTGTTGTTGTTGTTATACAGATACACCACAAAATTCGGAGGAGAAAATTCTCATGTTTGATATGTTTGCCTTATGTGAGTGTTTACATTGTGAGTCCAGTTAATATCACTTCCATCCCTTTTTGATAGAAATGGAAAGATATGGTGATGAATCTGGTTTACATAAAGTACTTATTTTCATCATTTGTCGGCGCTATTGTGCCAAATAAGTTTTCTGACATTATATAGAGATTTCTCTTTTCCTGAAGTTACATCATATGTAATGAAAATTATGTAGGAAGTAATTATATTTGACAGTAAGTAAGCTACATCAAGAGTAAGAAAATTGTTTTGAGCACAAATGTAGTACCTAAAAGTTCCTTTGGCAACTTGCTTCAGAAATAAATAGAAGACTGCAATCACAAATATCAACTCAAATTGCCCTCGGGACGTTGGTTCAGTGCTAAGGATACAACGTCGGGCTCTATTCCGAACAATAGGTTAGCTACAAAACCACAATCTGGATGAATTTGCACAAAAGACCAAACGTCCAGCAATAAAAGGAAAAAAAATAATAAGGTTTCCATTTTTTTTGTTCTTTCTAGATAATAGCAAAATTCAAGAAAGTATATAATTTTGAACTGCCCCAAATTTTTAGCTAACACTTCCATGGCTAAACAAGCAAATCACAATGTCGCATAAATGGAAGATCTCAACCACTGGACATAACATTAATTTCAGAAATTTGGTAACTAACTGTAATATTCTATGATTTATCTGTATGAAAAGTGAGAACATTGAAGTACACACTTTTTTCACTATAAACTCACTAATTTGAAGTAATTCCACCTATTTCTTATCTGCTCTAAACTCATAACTCCTTATCCCGTTGTGATTTAGAATATCTTAATCTGCTAAAGAATCCCCTCCCCCCCCCCCCCCCCCCTCCAAACTTCCCCATGGAGTCTTAACATATGTGGTCACCTTTAGTGGGTCGTATCCATTAAATGTGCAGTTATTTTCGAGAAATACAGTCCAATTTAAATTTTGTACCACGTGTCAGAACTTCTGCTAATAAGAAGCAAAACTCAGATAGCCTAACTTGGGTGTTACTCAATTTCACAACTGCCTTGGTGACCTTGGTACTTCCCTACAATATGAATTGGACATGATTAAAGAGGACAACATTAAAGGCATATATGACACTCTTGAGGAGTGTGCTTTATTGGCAAACCAACTGGAGGAAATAGAATATTTGTGATTTACAAATATGAAGTATCTTATTTTTCCAATTTATCACATTTGCAGTGTATATAGTAAGTTCATTCTTCGATCTTGGTGTGACTTCTTTGAACTCCCTTTAGACAAGCTACTCGAAATCAAACTTACACCATATCTCTCTCAATTGGAAAATATTCTGTATTCTAAGACTACTGCAGGGGTCGATAGCTCAATTTCTTGGTCGGACTAACTTTGGTAGGAAAATCACTTATTCTTGTTCATGTTTTAACTCTGCCTTTCTTACTTCAATATATTCTTAGCTTCTGCAAGAATGTGACTCATCATGCGTATCATTTGATTCAGTTAGTTTGCAATATCTAATGTAAATATGTTGGATTCTGCATTCAAGTTTGGTAATTTCAACCCCTCCTTGATAAAAAATAAATTTCATCTCATTTCTTCCGGCTTTTTATGTGATTTGTCTTTTCAAAGAAATAACTCTGACGGGATGAGGAGCTGTGTTAATTGATTACCCATGAATCATAGGAACTTAACCAAAGTTGTCCCGAGACAAGGTCAATATTTTACTAAGAATAGGTTATTAGAAATGAATGAAGAGTGACTAACCAGTACTTCTTTGGATCCAATAGATGATACAAGAAAAGAAGAGCAGAATAAGAAAGCAAAAGGATGTTGCTACTTTCTACGGCAAGTCCGGTCTTTAAAACACAAGTTGGCCATTTAGCATGCCAATGGTTTGAATATTTTAGACATGAGTTAGAGTAAGCAAAAAACAGTATAAACTGAAGCTTGTTTGATATTTAAAAGGTTTTTTCTTCTACTCCATATATTCCCATTCTTAATAGCATGCTTCGTGTTTATTGATTTTAAAATAGTTCAAAGACAACATAGCACCTTTGTTGATCGGTTTCTGGGATTTAATTTCGCTACATCTAAATTGCTTTCTAGCCGCCAATGAAAGCATCTGTATTCTGAAAGGAAAAAGAAAAGAAAAGAAAGTATCGATATTTTGTACAATTTATTCATTTACTTCAATTGAAAACAGCGTTGGCGTACTGTGTATTGCAATTTAAAGACTTTATCTAGGTTTTCAGTAAGTTTTTCCTGTGACACAGTAATTTAAAAGTGCACATATTTATTATGGTGTTGCTAACTTCATTATACTAAAACATTTTGGAGTTGGTTCACTTGAAGATGTGGTTTGTTACCTCTTTAAAGTCTTCACGATAAACTCTTTTTTAGGTTGTTTCAGTATATAAACCTAGGAGTTAAAGAGGCAATGCTAAATGCAAATTGATTTGGTCTTTTAAGAAGATTGCCTGAATGGTAAAGTAAACAACATTTGGGGCGTCATTTCTTGAAAGCTCATTTCGTACATAATGACTTTTTTTAATTGTGTCATGACTTTATAAATCTTTGCTTCCATGACTTTATAAAATCTCTGCTTCCAGTGTGATGTGTAAAACCTTGATTTACTAAGTATGTAACATAACATAATGATTCTATGTCATGACATCTCAAAATTCCTACTGGAACGGATCTTTGCAGGTAACACCTAGAATTAGTTGAGGTGCGCATAAGCTGGTCCGGACATCATGATTATTAAGAAATGGAATAATTCATCAGAGATACTTAATTGGGGCTGCTGGATAACGGAGAAGTATGAAGCAGTGAGTGATACAGATACTCCTATGGGCTTTTCTTCTCTTCAGATAGTTTTATGTCCATAATTTAGGAATTTTGAGAAGACTACTAAATTGATGAGGTCAATCGGCAGCTTCATCTCTCAAATGAGCTCTTCACTCATCTGCAGACTGTTTATTAGTAAAACATCATCTGCAATTTATTTAGTATTAAAATAGGTCAATAAGTCTGGAATAGTTCAATCCGGTAAAGAAATTCTAACAAATTAATACCACAGATTTTAAGTGCAACCAGGTGACGCAGTTGCCTTGGCCATCTCTGATTTACTAAAGTCCATGAGCCATATTTAAAGTATCCGGTTCATGCTATTATAAATAGGTGTGTTCCTAGCTTATTTATGTGTGGAGATTTCTAACAAAATATTTTCCTTCAGTATCTAAGATATTTTTATTTTCTTTGGTGGTTGCAGCATAATGAACGAGCTTGCTGACAAATTCAACACTGCATATGACAGGCATAGCAGGAGGGGTGGACAAGCTACTTTTGTTTGAAAATTTATATATTGACAATTTGCTCTTATGGAATCTCCTATGTAGCAGTAGCTACATGTTTTGCTGAGTTTAGGGATCACATAGGAACCAAAGTAGTGTGTTTGCTTCTTTTCTCTCTTTAGTCTTAGTTGCCCATACATTATAACCTTAATTCTTGTTGCACCATTATATACGTGTGTGAAAGTGGTAGAGGATTTTGGCTTCAGAAGCTTTTACTCAGCATGCTTGGGCCTGTTGTTGCCCGGTAGCTGTAGTGTTATGCATGTACTAATTTAATTTGAGATTCTGGGCATATGTTCTTCCTTTCCCGCAACCCAACCCTTTTAATACCAAGATAATCTTCATCGTACTTTCTTGGTGAATGTTAGTCTTTCCTCCCTTCAAAATTACTTTCAAGTTTGCAATTTTCTTTCCCCGTTGAAATGAATTTCAGTTTAATTTATACAAAATATTATCATAAAGTTGCCCTATCTTATGGAGTTATGGAGTATGAGTTCTTAAAATCGTTCACTTTAAGTGCAAAAGTACACTATTCTAATCTTGTTAATCAATCCAATTCTTTTGTGGCCGGTGATGACAGAAAGAACCCATTTGCTTTTCTGTTGAAGATGAAACTCATGTTTTCATATGACAGACTGCAAATAAGCTAACGCATTTCTCTTGAGAGTGGAGAAAAGAATTGCAATTTAAAAGGTTTATACAACAGAGAAAGATAAAGCAAGACAATCAGAACATTATAACTCAGGCTGCAAATAAGGCTAAAATAAGCATAACCAAGTCTATCTCGCCTTGTAGGCTATCCAACGTGCATCGCAGTGAAGCTATATTTTAGACAAACTAAAGTACAAAGCAGAGAATAAAATTCGGCCAACATGTGCTGCCCAACTATAGGCGGCGTCTAATTAAGATGTTAAAATAATATAAAGAAAAGTTAGGTGGTGTTGGTGCTTGAGAAAGCAAAGATGAAGTCTATCTTGATTTGTACAGTTCCTTAAGAAAGCAAAGATGAAGTCAACCTCATTGATGGCTCAGTGAGAGGTCTACCAAAAGCATTAAAAGGTTATCTGAGATAACGTCCAAGACAAGAGATAAACGTTGCAATTTGAACCTGTTGGCTGTAACTTTAAATTCTTGACACACTTGGGCAGAAAAAGTTAAAGAGATTGTAAATTAAAAACATCAAGTATGTTTCCTCGGATTTTTATGGACAAGGAAAACTAAGAGCTCATAAGGTCAAAAACTCTTAGTTCTAAGAGTAGTAAGTTTGAAGAGGCATCATGGGACAATTTGAACAAGGGAGGAAAAATTGTTATAAAACATGAGAATGCTTTACCTCCAACAAGGAAATCTTTTGGAGCATTTCTATAAGCTTCGTTTTGAAAAGTTCTGGTAATTCATGCCCAGCAAATTCTATAAGGAATAACTTGTTTTAGAAAGAAAAAAGGACGTACATTGGAAAACAAAGTCAGCGAGAAGTCACACAGTACATAAACAACATTTTGTTGGTGTAAGCTCAAAGTTCCATCTTCTGAAGGTAATGATACTCAATGGAGTTAATAAATGGCTAGTGCAAAAGCTCAAAGTTCAGTTTTCTATACCCAGACAGCCTAAGAAAGATCATCGAAGGCCGATGAAAAAAATTTAATAAAAATTTAGCGGATAAATGAATCGGTTTACAAATAAACTTATACGCCATTATTTAAGTGAACAATTCTGCTTCTGGAAGTTGAAATGTAATGGATCAAGTGAACTATTCCAACAAAATAAAATTCATTTATGTCAGGATAATAGCGTTTGAATCCATATTAATAACAAATCAAAATGTATCCACTCTTTTTATAAAATTATATAAATTTGGGTCCAGGCTCAGCACGGGTGATGTTTAGCTTAAAGTATATATATTTCTATATATATCGCCTCATATTTTACTTTTGTTTCGTGAAGTCGGGATGTTAAATGCTATGATTTATGTTAATTTGAATTGTTTTTATGTGTAGAAATGATTCGGGAGCAAGTAGGGGCGAAACGTGCAAGATTTGAGCTAAAACGAACAAAATCGGAAAAGGAGGCCATTTGGGCGCCACAGGCAGAGCCTGGCACCACCTGTGGCGCTGAAAACAGTGTTGAAAATATGGGGGCGCTATGGAGGGCGCCTGGAGCCGGGCTGGGCGCCGTTGACACGGATTTCGTCCTATTTTGCCGAGGACAAGGTTATTTCGGCCCTAGACCTACCCGACACGTATAAAAGCAAGACTAAACCTATTTTAGGAGGGGAGGACGCCACTTTGGAGATATCTAACATACTTTGAAGAAGAATTCACGTGGGGGCAACACACACCACGCGTGGAGGAGGCTTCTAACTAGCTTCTCTTCTCTTCCTTTAATTTCATAGTTTATTAGTTCTAAAGTTTTGGGGTGCTACATAAACGTTGTAGTTTGAAGCTTGAATTGTTCTTATTATTTTGGGTTATTTATTCAATCTTGTATTTAATTGTTTGATTGCTTGATCACCAATTGAATACTATCTACGAATCTAAGATTGAACTCGGGAGAGGGGATTCTAGATTGCATATAAGATTGAGTAGAGCAAGATCTTAACTCTGAGGGGGAGCGGATTTGCAGCTAGGATAGGAATATACCTAATCGCCTTGCTTGGTTATTATACGGGAATTATAAATGTGTTCTTGTTAATTCTAATTCCATAGGAATATAGGCGTTAGATTAGTTTGAACAGGCGAGTTGTACTTCGGAAGAAGGCTACGAGCAATATTAACCCTGTCAACCAATAAACCAAATAAATTATTTAGATGATTTAAGTGGAAAACTCAACGGGATTGTTAGCTAACCCATAGCTCTAGAATATTCACTCACATTGAATTCGTCTTTAAGTTTGTCATTGTTTTCTTTAATCTCTTAATTTGTTACTCTAGATTAATTTTAGTTAAATATTCATACGTTAGGATTCACTTGAATAGATTAATTGTTTGGTCTAATTTAGTTAATAGTTAATCACAAGTCCATGTGGGTACGATATCTGGACTTACAATCATATATTACTTGTCGACCACGTATACTTGCGCGTGCGTTTGGGAGCAACAAGTTTTGTGCGCCATTGCGGGGGACTTAGAAATTAACTAAGACTGCTAGATTAGATTTTTACTCTTTGTCTATTCAAGTTTCTTTTTTATTTTTATCTTAGTTTAATATTTTATTATCTTTGTTGACATGGCTTCTTGGAATGATAATTGGTCGAATATTGGTTATTCGTTTTATGATGATCCTTGTCCATATTGTGGAGGACCTCACTGGTGGAAAAATTGTCAGAATTTTCCCGGGAGCGAGTTGTGCGCACAATCTCAATTATTTGAGTGGAATATTTGTAATATATGTGGTGGTCAAGATGGTCATTGGGATGGTTGTCCTAATTCTTGTTATCCTTCTCAGAGTTCTTATTATAATGTTTCTAATATTGTTTATGAGTTTGATAGGAGTATGGAAGTGGAGGATATGGAAAGCATGGCTCGTATTATGGACATGATAAGGCAAATAGCCGAGCAACAGAACATGATGAGGCAAATAGTCGAGCAACAAAGTTTTGATGCCTTAACGATCAAAAGACTCCAGGCTAGAATGGACGAATTAATGGCCAATTTCCAAGAAGAATCTCAATTCGATGAAGAGAGCGAGTTCCCACAAGAAGACTATTTTGAAGAAGCAGATATAGTGAGCCAATCTTGGCTAGAGGAACAAGCTAAACTGATAAAATCTCAGGAGTTTCTCCGTGATGGTATTTCAAATATGACAGAACAACTGATAGAAGGAAGAACTGAGCTCAGGCAAGAGATAAACCAATTTGGCTTAGATATCCATGACATTCATGATCAATATGAATAAAAAGGTTGAGGCGTCTGATGCCCTACAACCAATTTTTGTGGATACTGGCCACCTTGAGGAGCGAAAAGAGGAACTCTAATTATTCGACCAAAATATTATTAATGAAGTCAAGGTTGACAAAGAGTGCAAAATTGAGGATGTCAAAAATAATGCAATTTTGGAGTTGGAGCGTATTGGACCTCATTCTAAACACTTTTCAACATTGTGTTTAGTTGGTGACATGGGAATTGATCTAGTCGAGCATATTCAGGAGTCAATGGATGAGGAACAAAGTGCTTATATTCTGAAATTTGTGATGTCAAGGAGACAAAACGACATCCCCTACTTAAAGGCCAATAAGTGCAAGATGCGATATCTATTGCTTGGTTCATTTATTTTTATACCACCGCCCCAGGAAGGTGATAGAAAAATTGATGCAAAATTGGGGGCGCAATTTATATCCTCAAAGTGGAAGGAAAAGTGGTGAAAGTGATAGCATCGTGCCGCGACGTTAAATCAAGCGCTTGTTGGGAGGCAACCCAGCCTGTATTTTAATTTTTTATTTTTTTATTTTTTTATATAATGTCAAGTTTCGTGTTGTTTTTGTTTTGCAGAGTAGGGGAAGTCTGAGTACCCAAAGTTGAAGCTGAGGAGCATGTTTGAGCTTAAGTGTGGGGTCGTCCCGACCCTTAATAATGAGGATCATGTCCGAGCTAGGCCCGAGAAGGCCTCAGGGAGTATTTCTTACCCTTGTTTAATATTTTTCTCTATGATCATGCATCGAGGACTATGCATAGAATAAGTATGGGGTGGGAAAACTACTTTCTAAAGTGTAATTGTATAAAACTATTTTTTTTATTTAGTTTTTCTTTTAGAACTCGTAATAGACATAGTCTAGGTAAAAAAACAAAAATTGAAAAAAAATAAATAGAAAAAGTTCAGACTTTTCCCGACGATGGATCTTTTGGACAATTTTCTTGAGGGATAAAGTCCGATTAAAAATACCAAAAAGATTTTTTTTAGGATAGTTAGGTAGTATCCCTTGGTTTTTCTTTGGGCGCCGGTTCTTTCCTAAGGGTGTAGCTCAAACCGGGTACTTTATTTTTAATTTTTTTAGGAGTAGTTTAGGAAGAAGCTGAGTCGCTCTAAGATACTCATTGACATGGTTGATGCTGGCACATTAGGCTATGACGTACATTCTATTATCCCATATATTTGGTTTGAATTTTGATGCCTAAGTAAAGTAAATAGCCTATTTTGTGGCGCTTTTTCTCAGTTGTTCGACTTGTATGCCACATAGTGCAATATTGCTTAAATTTCTCAATTATGTGTGCTTGCTTGACTTGAGAGTTGAACAGAACCGTTTTGATTGAGTCATGTGCAACGTGTGTGTGAGGATTTGTGATTTTCTGTGCTATCCTGTATAGTCTAGAACTTGCCCCATGTGTTAATTGAAACGAAATTGTAAGTTGTGCTAATCTAGAAGATGACGTAGACATTTTCTTGCTTGATCGTAGATGTGCTTGTCACATAAGAAAATAAAAAAAAAAACCGTTGCTAGCCCTTTTGAGCCTATAGACCATTTCTTTGGCAACCACATTACAAGTCATACCCCTATTTTGTTCTTAATTTGATATTGATTGAACCTTTACCTCCTAAGGCACTTAGTCGCTAAAATAAGTAAGGATTAGAGATTGGGGAGTAGCTTTTGAGTGGAACCATGGAAGGGCTTGTTGGTGTACTAAAGTTGAAATCAAAAGTCACTAGCCAATGAACCTTAATGTATGGAGTGTGTGAAGAAAAGAAAAAAAAAAGAGAAAGGAAAAGAAAAATTGCAAGAAAAGAGAAAAAAATATGATAGTTCAAATAATATAGAAAAACACACACCTCCAATTCTTATTGATTGTGCTAGGGGGAATATAGACGTGCTTAATTGAAAAGAGGGCTATGATATATATGGCAAGTGAATTGGTTGAGAAGAATATGTGCTTGAATTGTGAATGTAGTGTATTAAAGTGGTTAGGAGGGTTAGTCACTATTTCTAAATATATCCTACCCGTCCCTTAGCCTACATTACAACCTTAAAGTCCTAATTGATCCTAGATTTGGCTAGCTTAAATTAGTGGATATCTACACTACGGGCAAGCTTATGGTACGACCACAAGATGCATATGAATTCTTTGTGAGAGTGAGCGAATTTTGTTCAATTGTGCGATGTCCTTAATCTCTATATTCAAAAGTATATTTGAATGTGTGGACTATATATATTCACTCTTTTGTTTGTTGGTAAGGGCACATGATCTCATGAATGATTGGTAATGTTGTAAACTTTCGTGTTGGGTAAGTGCATGAATTGGGGGTGCTTAGTGGTTGCAAGTCGGCTTCTGAGGTTGGGTGGTGACAAATAGGTTGTTGGAATTTATTGAATTGAAATATTATACTTGGGTATGCTTAAACGGGAATAATGTGAAATTTTGTGTGTTCATACTTGTGTACCGGTATTGATAATAGTCAAGGGTATAGTGTGTGGTTAAAGTTTAAGGTGCTCCTCCATAATTGAGACTTGTACGTAGTTGGGGGTTTATTGGATAGTCCCATTGCTCGAGGACGAGCAAGAGTCTAAGTGTGAGGTGTTGATGTTTTGCTTAAAGTATATATATTTCTATGTATATCGCCTCATATTTTACTTTTGTTTCGTGAATTCGGGATGTTAAATGCTATGATTTATGTTAATTTGAAGTGTTTTAAAGTGTAGGAATGATTCGGGAGCAAGTAGGGGCGAAACGTGCAAGATTTGAGCTAAAACGAACAAAATCGGAAAAGGAGGCCATTTGGGCGCCACAGGCAGCGCCTGGCGCCACCTGTGGCGCTGAAAACAGTGTTAAAAATATGGGGGCGCTATGGAGGGCGCCTGGTGCCGGGCTGGGCACCGTTGACGTGGATTTCGTCCTATTTTACCCGGGACAAGGTTATTTCGGCCCTAGACCTACCCAACACGTATAAAAGGAAGACTAAACCTATTTTTGGAAGGGAGGATGCCACTTTGGAGATATCTAACATACTTTGAAGGAGAATTCACGTGGGGGAAACACACACCACGCGTGGAGGAGGCTTCTAACTAGTTTTTCTTCTCTTCTCTTCTCTTCTCTTCCTTTAATTTCATAGTTTATTAGTTGTAGAGTTTTGGGGTGCTACATGAACGTTGTAGTTTGAAACTTGAATTGTTCTTATTATTTTGGGTTATTTATTCAATCTTGTGTTTAATTATTTGATTGCTTGATCACCAATTGAATACTATCTACGAATCTAAGATTGAACTCGGGAGAGGGAATTCTAGATTGCATATAAGATTGAGTAGAGCAAGATCATAACTCTGAGAGGGAGCAGATTTGCGGTTAGGATAGGAATATACCTAATCGACTTGCCTTATTATTATACGGGAATTATAAATGCGTTCTTGTTAATTCTAATTCCATAGGAATATAGGCGTTAGATTAGATTGAATAGGCGAGTTGTACTTTAGAAGAAGGCTACGAGCAATATTAACCCTGTCAACCAATAAACCAAATAATTTAATTAGATGATTTAAGTGGAAAACTCAACGGGATTGTTAGCTAACCCATAACTCTAGAATATTCACTCACATTGAATTCGTCTTTAAGTTTGTCGTTGTTTTCTTTAATCTCTTAATTTGTTACTCTAGATTAATTTTAGTTAAATATTCATACGTTAGGATTCGCTTGAATAGATTAATTGTTTGGTCTAATTTAGTTAATAGTTAATCACAAGTCCCTGTGGGTACGATATCTGTACTTACAATCCTATATTACTTGTCGACCACGTATACTTGCGTGTGCGTTTGGAAGCAACAACGGGCCATTCCTCACTAGTACTATTTAGAAGCGGGAGTTGGGCTCTTCGTCGTCCTGCTTCCTGATTTACAATTAGGTCCCTGCTTTTGATCCAAAAGTAGGGGTATTTTTGTCACTCTGCTCACTTTGTACTTTCTGCAGTGCCTTTTCCCTTCGCACTCTCTTCAATACGCGCTTTCTCATCCTCTATCGACGTGGACGACGAATCGGTTCTTTCTTCTGCTATTGTGAGTTGTTCTTCCAAATGGGTAACACCTGCTTTTGGATGGATATCCGATTAGGGGTGACTGCCAATAAAATCTGCAATACCTTCTGTTCTGTTTGGGTTTTCTTTTCCTTTTTTTGGTTGATGGCTTACTACTCTGTTCCTTTTGGTGTCTATGCTTGCTAGGTGAAACAAGTGAGCACTTCTTGCTTCCTCCTCTGTCTCCTCCTTTAGATTTCTGTGTACTGCAGTATGTTACTCAAGAGTTATTAGCTGTGACCTTCATCTCTTATAGCCTTTTTTCCCTATGACCATGTTCAGAGAAAGTAGCTGTAATTTCCTCTTTAATTAATAAACTTGTGGAGATTTGTATTCACTTAAAGCTAGGCACACAGCTGGTCATTCTGGTGCTTCTCGCGTTATCTGCCTCTCTCTCTGTATCCTTGTATGACGCTTTAGTACTTTGTACTTGAAAAAGATAACAATATTCATACTAAGATACCTATTCAAGTTGTTGTCACTGTAATGTATACCCTTTAAGATTAAAACAAAAGGCCCACCAATTAGACCATAAATAATTGTTGGGAAATCTGGGAAAAATGTTTAAAAGAATATTTTAGTAAATTCTTATTTACCATGTGACTGGTAGCTTGTCTCCCCACCCTCCTTGTTTTCACTTGGGTTAAATTGCATTCTGCGATGAGTGACCAGCTTTTTTGGTTGCCTGTGGAAGGGACATAAAGATGGATGTTGGGTATGCTTTGTAAGTCTATTAATGCCTATGCAAATTTCCAAGGCGTTGTTGTTGTGTTAGCGTAATTAGGCTATAATATATGAAGTGATATGGAAATATGTAACAAGACTTTGTAACTTGCATCTTTCTTTTCATGTTAAATTTACTTGAATAAGTTTTAGAAACGTAGAGATAAGTGGTTGGCATCAAACATGGCATAAAATTTACGGATGGATGCAGATAAATGGGTTGTTAAAATTTTGTAATTTTTCCTTCAGAACATTTGGTGATTGATTTTTGCTTGAAACAATGATTTAATTCAGTTATTTTTCCTTATCAGTAACCAAGGTACAGTACCAAAATCTTGCTGGAAAAATCATATTATTTTACCCTGATACTTTTATTTGGGTGTTGTATTATATGATGTGTTATAAAAAAATGAAAAATAACTTATCTCCAACTGAATGGCTCCAAAATTCCAAACATGTTCCTGGAGAAAGTCTGATATCGACCTGTTAAATTTGGATCTACTGAATAAACAACGGAAATTTAGCCTTTGTGATCTATATTACGAGGATACTGGGTGGGGGTATTTAATTACATTTGGGTTTTTGCATCATTGTATCTTGGAAGAGTCATACGAAGTACTGATAGGCTTTCTAACGTAGAGTGGGAAAGAATTTAAAGTAAATTAGTGCATCATGAGTTCTCCAAGTGTAAGAAGAAAGCAATGTATTTGAGAGAATGAATATAACATCAAATGAGATAATGAATTTAGGAAAAATTCTTTATTTTGTCAGACAAGTCAGCCTATTTTATGTGTCCGTTAATGTGCCAGAATGATATTTTTAGTGATTATTATCTATTAGAACACAAACAAATAAGGGGGGAGAAAGGGGAAACAAATTGCTTCCACCCTACGGAGATGAATTGAACCATAATTATTTTTTAATGTTTGCTTCGATAATACATTGTTGCCAAAGTCTGTAAGAAATTCTCTTTTTTTAAATCCTGAAAGGTTCTTCGATGAAAATTGGTGAATTACATGTTACTTTGATCGGTCAATCAGTCCACATCATAAACTAATGGAATAACCCAGTAGCACACACCAACAACCTTTTTCCTTTGTTGTACCATTACATTTGAGACAATGACGTTACAATTTCCGTACAGAATTATTTCTAAGAGTATTTTCGATGCCCAACATGTTCTGTATGATGACCATGACTGATATTGTTTTTTTTATTTTTGTAGAATTGTTGACGTTTCTCTTACGTTCAGTACAACCAACATACTTGCAGAAGAAGTTCAACACTGTAAGGTAACCAACTATCTTATATCATGCCAAATTGTTATCATCCGTGGATGGTATGATTTTTAGAAGTAGCAAAGGACCAACCAATATACATGATTCAACCTACAGAATGTTCAGAGATATGGGCCTGACATGGATATTTTTACAGAATGCACTAAATTTAGACTGGAGAAGTAGTCCTATCATTTTGATGTTGCCTAACAAGAAATTCTCCCAAAAAAATATTGAAACAGTATATCAGTTTTTTATGTTGGAGTTAAGAGTTCATCCAAGATATTCTTCATAGTGCAGGGCCAAATGAAATAATTAACAAATTTAGACAGAAATCATCAGTTTCCTGTGATGCAATATGTTAAATCGTCAATTCATTTTTTTCGAATGGAAGAGGACACAGAAATGCCATATTTCAAGAATACCCATTCAGTCATTTGAGAGGTTCTTACTACCACACTTGGTACAATTGGCTGCCTCTTTTATGCCTACAACGTCATGCCATTGACAAGTAACCAAGATGAAAACCTCTGCCACAAAGTTAAAGAGCTCAAAAACTGATTACCAAATTCATTGGGCTGATTATAGCAAACACATTCACGTGAATATGATAAATATCCCAAAAGTACTACATGATATAGAATGAAACAAGAAGGTTAAATAATTCATTATTCTCTAATCAAAAAGAAGAGGTAGACGAAAGAGAGAACAAATACATGACATTCACCTGCAATGCTTGGGCACCATCATGCAGCTATAAAATTGCAGCAGGAAAGGCAAGAGCTTAACGTTGTTTCTAGGAAATGCAGCTTTTTGTCAGTCTTTACACTAAATAATGTCAGCTCAAAAATTTTCACAAAGAATTTACCGTAGGTTCCGAAGTGCTCCTACTGATGCATAATATTTAGCCTTAATGATTCATTATATTAAGTAGAAATAGCACTGGGTCAGGAATAAATGCACCATTTAATACCTTAGCAGATTGGGCTAAAGAAGCCAATGCCCCTAATGCTTCTTGTTGGATCGTTTGTTTTCCATCCTGCATTTCAAGCAACAAAAAGCTGAGGAAAATATTATCAGTCTCCTGCACTTGTCAATAGTGAAATACCTTTGTGATTTGGTGCTCCAAGAATTTCCACACAGGTGCACAAGCAGTTAACAATTTCATCTAGGTAGATTTGACATTCTGTTGAACCAGACGATTATGTGAATGACGAGATAGTGACATAACAAAGCAGCCCCAACAAAGCTGATGATCAATCTGTGCATCCAAATAAGTAATTGTTAATCATTTCAATCAAAAAGAATAACAACGAACCTCGCCTCTTAACTCTGCATAGTAAACAGACTGAAGTTGTTGGTTTCGTTAGCAAGTTCTTCATATGAAAATTCCACTGATTTATCCACTGCGATTCTTGGGGGCTCTGGAGAAGTACCCTAATTCAGAGGATCCCCTTCAAAGCTATTTTAATATCTCAGACTTGATAAGCTGAAAAAGATAAAGATGTCACATGAGCAGTAAAATAGGGCTAACCAGTTGAGAGCTGTTTTGCCACACTTAAAAAGATATTAGCAGAAACTCAAACGGTTTGATTTTGCAGTTTCATGTGTCAACAAAAAATTTGTCTATTTACTAAAATTGTAGAACAACTTAATGGCAAACCAACCATTAACCGATGAAGTTGAAGACGATTCTTCTACTGGAGCAAAGGGAAGATGACACAGAGAACAAGGATAGACAGAGAGAAGATGAAGATGGTGACAGGTGTTGGGGAGGGTAAACATTGATTTACCAAGAAGGCCCTAAAAGAGGTTGATATTACAAATTCTGAAAGGTAAACTAAAGTGATAAAAGGCTAAACCAAGGGCAAAATGTCACCCCAAAAAGTAAATTCTGACACGCGTACATTACTAATATATAGAAGAGCGAGAGAAGCAGCTGAACATTACTAATATATGGAAGAGCGAGAGAAGCAGCTGAAGGTCGTCATGTCTACTTGCGGCTAAAGGGTATTCTGGTCATTTCATATTGCTCCTAAATTTGACTGAAAGCTAATGCGTGTGATCAATATGACAGCCGACGCATTACTGATTTATCTGCGGTACTTCAATATGACAGATAAGTCACTCTCTATCTCTATCTGTTCATCTTCTTTGTTTTTCTCTATCTAATTTGTATCTAATTTCAAAGTACAAAATTACATTTGCTATGCTTTTTTCCTCTCTTCGGTGAGAATTCCAGAACCTTTTTCTTCGCTGTAAGAAAGAATTGGTGTTTGGCTTGGATTTTTGTGGTTCATTAGTTGCTAAATTGACATAATCACATGGTTCACAGTCACCGCTGATCTTCGCTCAGAATTCCTTTGGCTTCTGCTTCTTCGTTGTAACAGAAATTAGGGTTTTGTTTGGGGTTTTGTAGTTCAGTAGTTGCTCAATTGACATAATCATATGGCTGAAAGGTTGGTTTATTGTTCTATTTGTTTCCATTACATGTGACTGTGATTGTTTTATTTTTGGGTTCTTGCTGATTTGTTGCTCGAAATTAAATTGTAATTTTATGTTAGTTTTGTGAAATTCAAAAATACCTAGAAAAGAAATTGGGATTTCCTTCGACTATCTAACGTTTAGGCTCTTTATTGCTTTGGTAGCCACTTTGCTGCTATTCTGGAGATCATCCATTAATTGAAGTTCTCTGCACCTTCCTATTCAATATGGATTTTCCCAATAAGGAAAACTAACAAATACAGAGGGTGACAATTGGTTGTCCGTTGAGTTGAGATTATGGGTTCAAAATTTAATATTAGTTGAAATTTTGGTGGTATTTGGGACCGNTTGGGACCACGCATAGGGGTTTAAACCAGCAATGTTCAATGATATTTTTTATGTACTAATATGTAAACTTTTTTTATGGATAATCTAAAAAATAAGTCTTTCTTATGTATAAGAGGAAAGGGTATTGATATGCTTCCTCTGAGATTTCTCTAACAAGCAAAGTTTTGTTTAGTTTATAAAAAGATTAGTGAGAAAGCTGAGATTTTAATAATTTGGAGGTCATTATGAGCTCATTGTATTTTTTTATTGTTATCAAGAAATGTGAATATGAGCTCATTGTCTTTTTTGATAAAAAAAATGTGAATTCTGAGCTAAGCTATATTCACTATTAGATTTGACAATCTATCCGGCGATAGAAACTGTGATGTTTAATTGTTAGCATGTAGGAAAGAGCTCATATGGAGAAATTAGGTAAATACACACATACAGAGAGAGAGACTTGGTCATCTTTAATCTTTTGGGCACTCCCACAATTTTAGCATATAATTAACTGGAAGGCTACAATGTTACCATCTTTCAATAAACTTTGACAAGAACTAACTTGAAACATGAAGTCATGGAAAATCTTCATAGTTTTTCTTTTTCCTGAGAAGGTAACATGAATGTTCATGGCTTATTTGTGGAACTGATTATAAAATTGTAACGCTAAGTGTATTAGCATATAACTAATAAACACTTCTATAGCAAATCTACTATAACTTGTTGTTATGCATCTCATTTGACTTCGAATTTTCTTGCATAAATTGCAGATATTGAACTAATTGATAGACTTCAATCAGTTCCTACAGTTACTTACATGATTTTTTTAACCAAAAGTACAGGGTATACAAAAATAATGTACCTCTTCATCATCTCTGTTCTCACTTCTCTCATACCTTAAAGAAAAGGAAGATAAAGGCTGAAGAGTTATTAAAAAGGTGGAAACAAAAGTAGAAAGCACTAATGAAACTATGTGAAAATAAGATCCGCCCTAAGCTTAGTCGCCCATAGTCTTCAAGATTGAGCATTACCAAAGAATGTAAATACCAAAGCAGTTCATAGAAACCATGCAATTACCAAAGCAGTTCATAGAAACCATACATGATAGTTCAAGTGACAAACTGCATTCCAGTTACCATGAAATTTTTTATTGGAAATTCATATTCCACTTGCATCATAAGAACAATGGATACATCGGGAATTGTTGTCACCTTTTTATTGCATATTTGAACTTGGAAGCATAAATATATTTAAACAACTTGACTTTGGGTTACCCAAAAAATATTTTGAATATGGTATCTCGAAAGTGGTTATCAAAGTATTCAATCTTCATGTGAAATTAAATATAACTACATGTGCATCTCGGTGAGTGATTATAAACATAATTTGAATGGGCAACATGTAGCTTATCTTATAACACTATATATATGACATGTCAGAAGAAAAGAGGATACTTTACAGTTATTCAGCAAAACAAGTTTAACTAATCATCTCATTGTTGATTTTCCAAGCCATCACTGAAACGGCGAATCTATCTATGAAGCTCTATTTAGAATTTATTTATTTGCGTACTTTGTTGATGCAGTTGTTGAAGTGCATTATCTACTACACTCTATGACGAACTATTGTTGTTCATGTGGTAGATTTTGTATCTCTTTTCAGTTGGTAATAAGTTTTGTTAAGGCCAATCAATTCTTGGTAAAAAATTAAAAAAAAAATGCAATAGTTTGTATTTTCTGCATTTTGATCTTTTAACAGCTCTGTTTCACTGTTTGGTTTATTTGATTTATTAGTTCACAGTAATTCTTTGCAGCATTTGGCAGTAGCTGCTTAAAATGATTTTAAAGTTCTTATGAACCATCATATTGCCTTATCTTGAGCAAGTGCAAGTTGATGTCCCTCTTAATTTGTTCAAGCACTTTTGCCTACAAATTTTACTTATTGTTGGCACTAAATCACACTAGATTAAAATCTTTTTCGGGAAACCATAGAGTTTTTTGTTTCATTAGAGGGGCACTTAATTCTCACTATCTGGGAAGAAGATAACATCATCTAGATTAAATGACATCTCTTTTGCTTAAATTTTTCTTTGATCGCATTTGAAATTGCATAATACAAAATATTGCATTTTTGGTATAATACACACACTACTTTTCGTATACTTCTCTTAAAAAACCCTATTTCCTTTTGGCATGAATGCTAGCTGATCTAATTAACTTCGAATTTGTACTGATCTCTCCCCCTATTACAAGATATTTCCATTGATAAACTTGTGATGCATAACAATGAAGTTTTTTAAAATAGGTTTTTTTTTGGCTTCTCTAATGTGTTCCCTTTTCTTGCACATCTAAAGGTATAACTTTTCTATGGCAAGAAATACTGAAGCTACTGCCAACGAGTCCAAAAATGAATCTAAGGTAAAAAAAATCTACTTTTCCCTAATGATAAAATTTGTTTTGTTGATTCATGATTTATTTTCGAGATTGTGGTTTCTAATTTTTTATTTGGATTTAGTTTGGAATGATAAACTAATGATCTTGTGTATGTTTGTAATGAAGATTTGGAGGGATAGACCTATATCTATTTTGGAACTTGTATTTTCAAAGGCTGTATTTGACAAAATATTGGTTATATTAGTTTACCATTGCTCTGTGCTCTGTGCCCCAGATATATGTATCTTGAGAATCCAAATTTTTCAAGGCAGTGAAATAATTGTTAAAAGTTAATTCCTGAGTTAGCAGTTGAAAGGTCTACAAAAGAAAATGAGAAAGAATGAAGTTTCTTCTTTTCATTCTCTTGAGGCAACTAATAGTGCAGCTACAGCAAAGATTCTTTTTCATGTTTTCAATAATTTCCTCTAATCAACTTAAAACTATTTGAAATTTGACAATAGTTTGTATTTCTTCCAGTGGTGTAACAGCTTTAACACGTTTAGTAATTTGACTATTTTTTTAATAAGTTACCAATAAATATTTAGAAGCTTCTTCTATCGTTGTGCTCTTCTTTCTATTGTACACTAAAACCATAGTCAATGTTCAAAGTTTCTGCCATATACAAAAACTAATTCTATAATAAGAAACAATTATAGTATTAATTCGTTTGCTTTCCAGCATTATCACTATTGAATTCTTTGTATTGGTCACCATCTTATTTGCCTAGAATAACAAATACACACTTTGAACTGTAACTCTCTGTATCTGTTTATAGAACATTTTATATATAGAAATCGTTGTTACTGCAGATTTGATGTTAAAGTTTTATAGATTACTTGAAATGCAGATATCAACTGTTAAAAAGCATTTACCGTCAGCTTGTTGTGCGCAGAAAAGGAAGCAACAGTGCTCAACAAAAATCATCTCTAAAATTAATCGTAGGAGACGTGATCTATACAAGCAATTATCAGTTGATAAAAAAGAATTACTTTTAACACGCCGGCGATCAAAAAAACTTGAATTAAAAAAGGGTTCGACTGCGCTGCTTGAATATACCAAAGAAGCTGCTGGGTTTGAGCTGCATACAGAAAAAACTCTGACGATAGTCGAGGCACCATGCATTGCTGGGAAAGGTTAGAAACCGAAAAAGATTTATTCGAACAAAAGACACATCTACATATACACTATTTGTAGACAGAAATATATGCATGTATGAAAATGTTGGTTTGTGTTTAGTCAACAATGGCATGCTGAAAATGTTGGTTTATGTTTAGTCAACAATGGCATGCCAATTGGAAGAGTTGGTGGAAAGAGTTGGTGTGGATGCTAGGAGGAAGCTTCCTCCTTTGATGTCACCCATGACATCAAGAGGAGGTAGTTTGATGTCACCAATGACATCAAGAGGAGGTCTTTACCTCTATAAATAGATGCACTCCTTCACTTGTAGAAATCATCCCAAAATAATACAATACATTGTAGTGAGTAGAGAGTTAAGAGAGAAATTCTCTTAAGTGTAATTGGGAAATCTCCCCTTCCTTTGTTAATATTAAAAGGGCAATTGTTCTCTGGTGGACGTAGGATTATTTTGATCCGAACCACGTTAAATCTTGTGTTCTTTCTTTTACGTTTCCGCTAACAATTGGTATCAGAGCGACAGGATTCTTTAACGATCCAAGGAGAAAGAACAAGCAAATATGAGTTCCATGAAGTTTGAAATTGATAGATTCAATGGACGCAACAACTTCAATATCTGGAAGATCCAGATGATGGAGTTACTATGGAGGGAAGGTTCAATCCATGCTATTGACGGAAAGTATCCTACGGATATATCAGCTCCCGAC